TTCTTCTTCTTCTTCTTCTTCTTCTTCTTCTTCTTCTTGTTTCTTTCTTTTCCTTATCTCTAGGTACCGGTACCTATCGCTTTTTTTTCCACTTATCCTTCGCGGTGCGGTTGGGGCCGCTTATTGGTGCCGCCTAACAAGCGGTGTGATCATGTACCCCGCAAATAACAGCCAAAACAAAACCAAATAGAATGATGATCAGCACTACACTCAAGAACTTACCACTGTAGCATCATTCCACAGTCCTGTAATATGTTGCTAATAAAGAACAACAATTAACAACACTATTGTATGATCAGTACATCTGTCTGTGTTACACCTACGGGCGCAATTCCCGCCTGTTAGCGTCTAGAAACATCTGAAAGAAAGAAAGAACAAAGAGACTAAGTAGTTCCTCATGATCATCTATAGTAGTGAGTGGTACCAGTATACAGTGTTCAATGTAATTAAATTCTACTGTATCGGGGAGCGGGAACCCCATGTGTTGGATTGAAAAGCACAAGCCAGTCGGGGGATGGTCAGTAAGGTCAAGTAAGCTATCAGGGCTTACGGAGGTAGTCGAGGGAACGGCATAAAAAAAAGCACGTTCATCATCCAGTAAACTCCAAAGTCAAAGTAGCTAGAGGTAAATGACACCATTCAAGCTAAGTTCCTAGCTGAATAAAAGCACGATTTTAACGCGTATGAGCAAGCCCATGATTACCACTGCCGGACATCCCTAGATGGGCTCAGGGCTGTGTAGGTCGGTGCCTAGTTGTTCGATTTGCATATTGCCCAGGTCTTCTTGTCGCTCGAACCCTCACCAGCGCGTAGAGTCTCGGGGCCCTCGATTCGAATGAGTCTTCCAACATCTCTCGATTCCTGTTCTTGGGGTTATGCATCAATGATCAATCTTTTATGAGGACAGTACATTACTTGACCGCTTGTCAGATTCCGCCTTATTGGCGCAACCCTCATGGGCTCTGATGAGCTATCATATCCATCATTACTAGTGCGATACCTAGTGGCAAGATTTGTGCCAATCGTCATCACGTTGCCCCTATATCTGGCACTTGACATGCGACCTTCGTCTTGGAACTGACCGTCCGCAAGACATACCCAGCGGTGGCAGAGTGGCCAACTGGCGACGAGCTGGTAAAACGCTGGTCCGACAACCTTCCTTGTGACAAATGCCTTTCTTATATGAGTACGAGGCGAAGCAGTTCTCACTTATTTCCCTTCCCCTCCCTTCATTTAGCGTAGACCTTCCGAGAGCTCTGGATACGTCAGGAAAAGAGGCTACTCCATGGTTTGGAAGCATCACAGCCTGACAAGCCACATAGCACGATTGTGGCCTGCTTATGGTAACTTATGCCATTAGTAGAGCCACAGCGACCATTGAGGTACTGTACATAAATGCGAAACAGATCGACAGGCATAGCACCGAATACAAGCAGGGAAGAGCTTGATGTCTATCCTTTTCTGCCTATCTCTACCCGGCTCGCCCCGTGTCGGCCCCCTTCCCACCTTTCCCTCGAGGTTTAAAATGAGTACTAACACGTTCTCTGCTTACATCCTGCCTTAGTACGTAGGTTAGCGTCGAAAAACCTTGGATGGTTCCTGGACCTCTCTTTTTTCGACTTGACGGCAAGACACGTCGCCTCTCCTCGTCAACGGAGGTCGTCGACCAACCGACTTTGATATTGCGTTGATTGATACCAACGGCTTCCTTTTCATGCATGATCTAGCCGGTAATTTACACATTCGCACTCGCAGGCGCCTCATAGGAGTCATAACGAATAGTACCGGTCGGCAAAGCAAGGTCAAGGAAATTACTGTTCTGCAGCCGGACAGATTGGTAGGGTTTTTTCTTTTCCTTTGATGCCCATACCTGAACAGATGAACAGAGGTCGACAGAATGGATAAAGGTGGATGAAGATGGATATATAAGATGGAAAACTCCATACATCTTAAGAGATTTCTTGAATGTTCGAGTTGACACTCTTCTTCCTTCTCAAGCAGAATCATATTTCTTATACTAGGCAAAATCGTGCGCCGAACCCAGGCCCCCATACACCCACCAAAGGGCACGATGAGCCATGGCAGCAGCCACTATGCCTTCCAACCTGTGACAATTATGCATGGCCTGAGACCTACAGATGCTCATGCAGGCGAAGAAGAGGTGTGTCTATAGCATCGTCATATATCCCTTACCGTTTCTCTTCTCTGCCGCCCCGCAAACACATCTACTCTATTCTCCTCGAGCAAAGAAAGAATAATACTCATTCGATGACTCTGCCCAGGTCCGACCGATCCTTCTCCGACCAACCCTTGGAAACGATCCCAGCCTCGTCTACGGGCGTTCTCCACCTGCCGCTGCCCTCTTCAACAACCTCCTGCAGGCCGACTGGGCCTACTTCGGTCTCCCGCGCGAGAGCACAACCTTCCCCTTTCACGCCGGGATCGAGGCCGCCGAACAGCTCTACCGGACCTTGCAGTTCCGATCAAGCCTACTCGGCCTGCTAACAGTCCACGACGAATCCCTTACGGGCGGGGCTCTACGGGGTCTGCATGGCAGCGAAGCCCAAAAGCTGGCCTTGCAGAAGTTGGCAGGCACAGCAGCTACAGACTATAACATCCGAGCGACCGACTTGCTCCACAAGTGGGATGAGAAGCTCACCATGACCAAAACGGAGTTATGGCAGACCCTGGTGGAGATCTGCGGGGGACGTGAGGTTCTTCTGATGGACCCGAACCCGTCGGAGGAGCTCCGGCCGTGGCTGGGGCTGGTCATAGAGGCGTGTTGCCGCTTGGGGGGCGCGGTGGACTTGATCTACAGCCTCGTCGGCGCGCCCTGGTCCTTGGAGCGGACGCGTCGCGTTGCACAGCTCCAACACCTGATTCGCAGTGCTTTTGTGGCGCACGATGGGCTTCATGCGGGCGGGGACGATAGTGATGTGAGCATGGCGGATGCAGATTGAGGGGCTTGTCGTCGAAGCTCCTCACGGAGCCAGCAGATGGGGACAAATGTTTCTCTATACGTTTTGGTGTATTATTAGTGTGCTTTCTGGCCTTAAAAGTGGACTTTTAATGGTATCTTATGTTTGGTCGATGAAATGGGCGTTGAACGGGCTGTTGACTGATGGAGGAACTATGGAGGAAAACTAAGAAGTAGGGCAAGGCTGACGGCAAGGCTGACTGATATTTATGGACAAGGTAAACAAAAAAAAGTTAGCAAGATTAACTTTTTTTTTCTCAGGAAAAACGAAAGATAAACAGAAAGTAAACTCAAGAAAAAAAATAAATCAAAGAAAACAACAAGCATATGTAGGGTGCAAAGGCCGCCTGCCCTAGTCTGGGGCCCATATAGAATAGATCGGCGATACAAACTATCGCCTGGGGGAGCGATTGATCTCTACCGGACAAAGTGCTGTACAGGACGAAAGTCTTGTTCCAGAATTCTACATCTAAAAGTCCCACGCTGACTTGTAAATTGGAAGTTATAGGAAAGATCCGATTGGTCACTTAGGGGGGGGATGCAAAGTGCAAGGTACTGTATGTAAATGTGTGAACCAAAGCTGATCAACTTCGCCACTCCGCCAAAGTAGGGATTGAACACAGATTGGTATTCGAAGTCTGAGGTATTGATCTGGTCGACTTGGTCAAAAGTACTATACTTTAAAAGTACTGTACTGTACAGCCGAATATTACCGAGGAGGGGTAAAGTACAATACATACCCAGAACGGACAGGGCGGCTGCACTCAGGACGAGCACAACGTACGTGGACGACACAGCACAACACTAGCAATGGGACTGTGTATATCTCTACCGTACTTTGCAAGGCTTGCAGATTCGCTGCCTTAGTGACCTAGATCAGAAGAAGGCGTAGTGTCATACACACAATCCGCGTTCTTGCACACGGGTTGGAGCAGGCTTTCAAGTTGGGTTATGCGCATCAACAGCTAGGCTTACTGTGGCGCAGCCAGCTGACTACGGTACTTGGGTTTCCACAACTCAGCTCAACCGGCGGCTCAAAAAAAATAATACAGCTACGCAGGGGAACCGAGAGGTGTCAGGGAGCTGGTGTAGTATTAGTGGTTGCGGAAGACTGAAGCCCGCTTGGCCTCAGTAAAGTCACATAACTATGATTTTTAGGGCTATTGGAAACTTAGATTTCAGGCCGAAGATATTTTTACATTAAGGATTTTTATTAGAAAATCTTATACATAATTTCAATATTAGGGTCAGGTCAGAAAAAAAGCGGTCCGTTGGGCGGTGAAGCTATAATGTCTTCAAAGCACTATAGTTAATCGGGGGGGGGATACGCGTTGTTTAGATTCTTGAGGGGGGTAAGCAGGTTAAGGTGGCGCGCGCTTAAGTGGTTGGTCAGGCAGCAATGTGATTAAGACGAGTAGCCCGCCGTAAGCACGCTTCAAATTGTGTCTGGCCATTGCGGAAGCATCATTGAATTTCTCAGAATTCCTTCGTCCTATGGACTTTCTTGCCAACATCTAGTTTCCAACCACCATGATTGAATGTCAGGCACGCATCTAATCCAAGCCATATCTCAACAAATGGGATACTTGACATTGTAGATTGATGGCACGAGAATGTGACATCATGAACAGCATACCACTCTGAAAGCTCCCACAAATACATGACCACCTCCCGTGACATCCTCCCACAAAAGCTCAACACCAAACTCATTGCTTTCTCCAATCCTCCTATCCTTACCCTTGCAGCGCCCTAAATCTCCTCTTCAAAGTCCTCATTCCCCTCCACGCCCAGATCGATTTGTTCCGCCTCATCCTCCACTCCCTCGTTACTATCAGAGTACTCTTCCTGCTCCTCAAAACTCACAGTCTTCCGAGACGAAGGGAGGAAACTGTCTGTGGTCTTGCGGGTATCGGACTCCACAAAGAATGGGTGGTCGGAACGCAGCCTCCGGCCTTGACAAACATAGCCCATCGGCGTATGGGATATATCTTGGCCTTGCCGTCTCAACGCCAGCCACTCCTGCAGGAAGGCCATGTTGAGTGAGGACCCTTCCGCAGGAGTCACCGCGCTACCGGCCACATCGTCCCATCCGAGAGCCAGGCGGTCCAGGATCTCTTCGTACTCACGGGGACCGAAATAGAGTCTTCCAGCGAAGATGCCAACCTCGAACGCCAGGAAGGCGGGCACATAGTTTGCGACCGGGAGAGGGGGGACGGTGTAGTAGTCAAGGTTGCTGAAGTGCTGCATGCGCTTGGTGACCGGCGCTGCGTAGGTCATGAGGTGCATCGATGGTGCTGCCTCAGTGCGGAGGATGGGAATCAGGTCTTCGGCTTCTTCGGGGGTGACCACAATTGCCATCTCAGTTTTGATGTTGCAAAGTAGCCAGTTCACCGGGCGCTGAGGGAGTTACATCTGTCAGCACATGGAGGCTTGATCGTTAGTCATGAGTAACGTACCGTCAGTTCATCCATGTTTTCTCCAGACTTCAGCTTGACCGTCTTGGTGAACTCCACCGATACGTATAGATGCGGCAGGCTCGGACCCACCTGGTCTTTATACTTGCCACCTAGTTCAGTTGCAAGTATCATACTCTCCGCGGTCACATACCCCACACCCTCGAGGGAACCAGTCTTCCCAAACTGCGATAGGGATTGATGCAAGCCGGGGTAAATGTACGGCTTCAGCAACTTAGGACGCTCAACCTCCCGCTCTTCTTCAACCTCGTAAGCAACCTCTCGTTCTTGCTCGACTTCTTCTTGCGCTGAACTGGCGATGGCCGAATGGTGGATATCTTTGCCTTCCGTGCGTCGCTGTCGCAGAACTCCAATGAAGTTCGCGGCTCGGCCCGAATATGTGAAATCATTCGACGAATCCGAGTCTCCATCGCTCGCATCGGTGGGCTCCGGCTTGTACAGTTGCTCCAAAGACTGCTGCTCGGGCTGCTGCAGGATCCCCATGTAGTACCTCCGCTGATGATGGTTCTTAATGAAGTTAGGGTAGTCTTCAGCGGCCTGAATACGGCGACAGAAGTCGACGCCTTGCGCATTGTAGAGCGGCTCGAGATCCCTGTTACTGGCACAGGTCTGGTGCAATAGCCAGTACACAACATCGGAGGAGTCGAGTTGCTCGTCCTGGTGCTTGCCGCAGACGTCAAGAATATTATAATGCACTTCTGGAGGTGGGATAAAAACCACAGACTGCGTTGTCCCGAGCTGTCGGAGCCTCATGGCTGCCTGCACAGTATGGTCCTTCGTCTGATTGAGACCCAAGGTAAGGGCTCCCCGAGCATCTGCCGGGAGTTTCAGATCTGTACCTCGAGTATGTGCTTGATCGAGATAGATTAAGCAATCCGTCATATCATCCGCATACGGAGTTGCGATCAGTGGTAGACACTTTCCTGTCCGTGAGCAAACCTGCGGCTGATTGTCCGGCCCAAAGTAAACCGCAGCTTGGGTATCATTGTCATGCATCAACCATGTCTTTACCAGGCTCAGATTGTCCATCTCGAGGACAAAAGCGCCTGCGTCAATCAAGGTGCGGACTTTGGTTTTGGTCAAGCTACACAGCAGCTCTGTTTCAGACATACGCTTTCCTTTGAAGACCGCAGCTCGATACTCCCTGTTCCTTCTCTGGAGCAGGTAGGTGAGGACCTCTGCGTTCGTATGCGACAGTTCGGGAAGATCATGTTGTTCCATCGTTAGGGGTAGCAATCTGCGGTTGTCGTTGGTCCCACTAAAGCCGGTGGTTAGGCCCGGTTTTACAGTCGTTGTACCGTCAGAGGTGTCGGGAGAGTTCCTGAAATAAGGCACGTCCCATCCTGACATCTGAAGCTTGATAGCAAACTGCTTTGCGTGCACAGGAAAGACAAAGTTCTTCAGATAGTAGTTGATCACCGTCGTCGAAAACCGTAGATGCTGCCAGATCATAAAACCCTGATCATAATCGTTCACGTTGATTAGATTCCAGTGTCGTAAGCTTCCTGGCATAATTGCTGATGTCTCCGTCCAGCGGTCATATTCGGTAGCCGGATCATCCGCTCTGAGAACAGCCTCCAAGCACTGTCGACATTGCTCCTGGCTCAGACCCTCGTGATAGAATGCAAGGCAGATGAATAGAATGGCCACATCTGGGTGACCCCACTCCGCTTGGTTCGATGGAACACCCTTGGCATGGAATGGCACGGCAATTGGGTCTCGGTCAGGATGCAAGCCGTACTGCACATTCCATCTCTTCTTCAGACATAGCAGCAGGATCTGATGAACCACCAGGCCTCGCAGCAGATACATTCTCTTAAGCGTCTGAGGCTTATCCTCGAAGATCTGCTGGAGACTCTCGGTGACCGAGTCATCAACGGCCGGGTCTGAAAGAAACATGCGCACGGCCTCAATCTCAGCGGCGCCGCGACCTTGCATCGGCAAGATTCCACCCCGACCAGTACAAGCATCGTTCACAACTCTTTTCATCAGAGCCAACTCAACGTCGTTTCTCAACAAATATGCGATCGGAAATGCGACATCTTCCCTTTCGATCACATCAATGCTGCGCGGGAACTCCCGTGCTAAGTCTCGTAGATGATCCGCGACCAACCCTAACACATTCATCGTGACCTCCCAGCGATCGGGGTATCCATCGACAACAAGCTGGGAGCCGCTGGGATAAATGAGCCGTGTCTTGACCGCGAGGGTGAAATCACATTCGTCGAGAAGATCCCGGCCATGTCGATCGATCCATTTTTGGATCGCTACCATTTCAGTAGCCTCGGCGATCTTGACATCGGAAACTCGCTGAAGGCCACTCAACTTGAAGGACAACGCATGTTCGGGAACACCCAAGATGATACCGGATTGACGAAGTGTGCTCTCATGTAATCTCCGAAACTCTGATATCACTTGCGGCGTTGTTGGCGTTCGTCGGGAGAACGGGATATGCAGCACTTCTCGACCAGCAAGACCTCCGATATGTGTCTGTAAAATCTGAGCCGTCTGGGTGAGAAGCGCACTTGGCACGAGCAACCGAGCGAGAATCTTGCCATTGGCCAACGCGCATGCCACCATCGGCGTGATCACTGAAGTCTTTCCTTGTCCCATGTTCATCTGTAGGACAGAATTCGAGCCCGAGGTTGGAGCGATCATTTCAAGAGCAACCGTTACCTGTTCCTGCCGTATCTGCATATTCGCATCGATTTCAAAGAGAATCCAGTCCGAGTATTTCATGTGATTCCACACCGCATGGTCCTTCTGACAGTACTCTTGATCGAGCCGGCTGTCATCACGTCTAGCGAAGAATTCTCTGATCCGCAACAGGCGTTGTAGCTTGACGATCTCGAGCGCGTATGATATGATGGCTTCTTTCATTCGCGGCCCGAACCGTACGAGCGACCCCCTAAGCTGCTGCAAGATAGTGACCGTGGTGATGCATGGTGCGATATTGCCTTTCAGCAACCAATACAGTCTCGAATTCCCAGCTAGAAGAGCTGAACAAATCTGCCGATAGTGAGAGTCCACCACATCCTGCGTATCTCGAATCTCCTCGTTGTATCTCTTGAGCCCTTTCCAGTAGGACAATTTGGGTGATCGGGACTTGTTCGGTTCCTGGTCTTTATCCTTCAGCGCATGGATGCTCACTTGCAAGTCTCGACCATATCTGGATCTCACAGGACAGTCCGAGTTGATCATGCTCTTCACTATGCTTTCAAGTTCATCAATCTCTCCAGTAGACACTGGCCGATCATCGCGTCTTCTCCGCGGGTCGGTGGGATGGTGGGGCATCTTTTTCGCGCATTTCTGATGATGGTGTTCAGCCTGCGCGAGCGGCGGGCCTGGTGTATGGAGCAGGTCACGTCCGAGCTCAACTGCAACTCTTGGATGACTGCCAGAGCGCGAATCAAAGTACTCCACGTGTCCGCTTTGCTGGTGAATCTTGTGGTCTGTTGGCTCTCACATTGCCGTGGGCATTCAATACCTTTTGTACTTCCTCGATATGGGCAAGAAGTTGCATGTTCTTGTAACGACGCGACCATACTGGCTTGATTAGGTCCAGGGCGTCCATCACGTTCACGAATTCTGACGAGAATCCATCGAGTGAGGGCTCCAAGCAGGGCCATTGGGAAAGAATGAAGGTCACGAGGCGTTGACTTTCGCTATTACACTGAGATTCGTGTTCTTCCTTGGCCCTTTCATGTTCAGCGATAGTTGCTGCTTTCAAGCATGTGGTAGAATGCTTAGGCCTCTTGACCGGGGTCGGAGCTGTAAACTTGATCAACGCTGGTTCCACCAGCTCGAGAAGCAATCGAGAACCCGGCTTGACGTTTTCGCGAACTTGCTCAAAGGCTTCGTGCTGGGGTAGTCTTATCTTCTTCAGCTCGTCCAAAGTGACAAAGGCTGCTAGGACACGAAGGGCCGTCATGCTGACATTCTGCGAATAGGCTATAAGACCGAGGTTGAACATCAAATAGTGTACATCACGCGTTTGACTCTCAGCGCAAAGCCGAACCAAGCGACCCCAATTGGCCGCAAGGTCAATCGATATGGCGGCCTTCACAGTGGAGGGAATGAACTTGCCGTCATAGCCCCCGACGTGGTTCCAGCGCTGTATGACATGGGCGAGATGATCCGTCGTTGCGATCTCTGAAGGCCGTTCTCGGAGCAGGGAGACAATCTCACGCACATTCTTCGCCCGCGTGGACGAACGATATCTAGCACGCGAAACATATACCTCATCAACGATTTCTTGCACTTTGTCCTCGTTCCATGTGTCCGATCGCTCGTACAAAGAGCGGCGCCAAAGAGCTCTATCTCGCAGATATACTTGACTCCCGCTAGTGTTGATTCCGCGAGGCGGGATACCTGGTTGGAAGAGAGAAAGTCTCTGTGACCTCTTCAGAATCGACTCGATGGTTGGCTGATACGCTTCATGCTGTATAGACACTGTCAGTTCCTTATTCCACCTCACCATCTGTTGGACCTTTTTTCCGGGAGGATAGTACTCCCGCACCGGCGTGAGCCCGGAGATTCCTTGTAACAGATCCACGATGTTGGACTCGAGAGGTCTCCACGGTAATGAGGAGGCGGACTCTAAACAAGCCAATGCCTCTTCTGTACTGGTACGCCCTGTCAACGGGTCTGGAGAAACGAAGGAAGTGAATGCATGAAGCTGGGCTTTTGTGTAAAGAAGTAGTGGCTCGGCAGGGCAGTGAAGCCGACCGAGAACTCCGTTAATCTGATACCTCCCATAGTTCCCATTGTTCTCTTTCTTGACCAAAACATGTATGCCTTGGCGCTCGATTTTGATGCTGCCCACGGGAACAATGATACTGCGCTGTGAACGATTGTAGATATTTCGAAGTACTAGCATACTTTGGAGTCCATAAAGTGTACCAGCGTCTTGATTGGGGTCAATCTCTGCGCTCAATTGAGTGCACTGCAGGCGCTGTCTCTGGTTGACATAGAATCTGAGGTTCATTGCCTTCAACTCGACCGAGAGCATGGCTTGCGGCGGTTGATAGATTGTCAGCTCTGCGGCTTTTTCGAAATGAGTGAAAATGCTAGCTATCGTCATTGCGAGTTGCGAACGGGGGTCAACCAGATATGACTTGCGTCGGTTAGCCTGCTGGGTTCGGATGTTGATCTTCCAGTCGCCCGGCCTCTCTCTCCAGATTTGTGGTATACGCCTCGCCTGGAGGATTCCCGTTTTGATATTGATCCAGTGCACACAGTCACGAAGTAAGGAGTATGGTAAGTCCGGTTTTGTGCCACTACCAAACACAGACCGAGGAACATGCTCCAAAGTTTGGCTCTCCTTGCAGGCCCAGATCACGAGGTCCTGACCTCGGTAACCCAAGTGAACCTCATAGCCGTTCCTAGCCAGCGCCAGTCTATAACTCATCCCGGGCAGACTCGATGGGAAAGCACTGAGTCTCTCGTTGCCGAACAGTTCCTTGAGCACATCTGAGTTACGGATGTCGGCTGGGAGCTTCCCCAGAGGCTTGCCGTCGATCAAGAAGTGGCCTTCCAGGATGTGGAGCCGGCGATATTGATCTCGCTCTTCATCAGCACCGCAGGCTGTGGCACTTATCCAGCCATTTTCTTCTTGCTGCCAGATAGTATGTTGTCCCTCACGCGCACTGAACCATACTCTGTCGATGGCTGCATTCACGCTTGAGGGATACCACCTGACCGCGAACTGAATCACCTGGCACAGTCGATTGGACATCTTGATGTCGCGGACTAGCATCCTCCGAGTGAATGCATCGAAACTACTCGCATCTATGACCAGGCTTTCCTGCATGGAAAGTGTGGCTTCAGTCCATGTTTGAGTGGAGGCCGCATCAATTGAGGCGCTAGTCGTTCGATCAAATGTGCGGCGACAGAGGAGAGCGGCCAAGAAGCAGTATCGCGCTGTTCTGTCCGCGACATCGACCTCTACAGCTTTGCGTGCTTCGTTGCGTAGGTGGTGGATCCAACGATGCGTCACACTGCGGATCTTTAGCAGCAGTTCGTTGGCGCATCTTGACACTTCATCACACCCCAGGCTGCACACTCGCATCGTCAAAGTCAGCATCGTTTCCATGTACATGACCTCGCGCCAGTTCGAGGTGATCAACGAAACGTGTTGATCAATTTGTTGAATCAGTCGCTTGCAGAAGACGGCTTCGTGGAAGACAGAATGTATGACTCTCAAAGATTCTCCCTGCTGCCAGGGGCCAGCCTGCAAGGCGAGATGCTGCAGAAGGGCCATTGTTTCGTGCGCGCTGAAATTGATGTTCGACGATCCGAGTTCAGAAAGGATCGAAATCCACCGACGTTGCTTGCCGGCCATCAAGCTCTGATGTGCGAGAAACTCATGGACGGTCACTGCAGAAGGACGCTTCCGTGATTCCGCAAGAGCTTCATATGACGAAGGCCCTGGTCCGTCCGGAGCGAAACTTGATGAAGAGTACAGCTGTGCAAGGGGAAGATTTGATGGGAGGGCAAGGGCAAAGTGATGCGCAAATGTGAGTGTTTTTGGCAAGTCCCCTCCCCATACCTTGCGACCTTTATCATAGTACTTGATTATCATAGTACTTGAAGGTCAAACCCGACGGAAACAGCACGCTTTCCTCGGCGATTGGGAATTGCCGCCATTTGTAATGGGTATCCAAGAACGACTTGGTAGGCGAGGCTAGAGAGAACCCTCCGCGGAGTGCATTCTCTCTGAAGTATCCGGAAAGATTCGCGTACTCACTCAGCAGCTTCATCGGTGCCATTGCATTCGGTGAGGCTAGTTTAGGACCAAATCGAACAATGAGATGCCACGTAGCACTGCGGTAGGCGGCAAATGCTTCGGGGATTTCCAACTCAAAAACAATGGCTCTTTTTTCGGCCATCTTTCCGTCGCAAGGCAGATACGCTTCATGAGCGCTGATCTCTAGACGTTTTCGACTTCGATAGTAGTAGCAGTGACTGCAATCGCGAATATCATGAGTACCGTCAGGGTTCTTTCGCTGGGTACAGTCACTTGATGACCACTCCGTAGTCAAAAATTCGAACTCTCTATTCACTTTCTGGAGCTCTTTTAGCTTTCTCTGGCTTGAAGTCTGAGATGCATCTTCAATGGCTTTCTGTAGTTCTCTCAAGCTTTTCCCGACGTCGAGCTCCATGTATCGATCAGCAAAGCAACCCGGAGCCGGGTCTGCAAAGATTGACACGCTTGAGTCAGCTACTGTCGCGCATCTTTCATGAAGATGGAGCTGAATCGCATGCAGACGGTCTAGGTCGGTTCGTCTAGAGAGGAGCAAGACATCAAGTAGCTCTGGGCGGAATACCGGATGGAACTCGAGAAGCAGCGGGTAGCCGACGGTCGCGCATTTGTCCATATAGAACCACAGCTCAAATATGTTCAAGATGAAGAGGCTGAATTGCTCCGGATCTCTGTCATAGGCGCCCGCAACTCTTTGAAGATAGTCCTCGATTCTGTCGGCAATTTTAGTGCAAGCGCCGATGCTCTGAACTAGGCCAGCCGCTGGAGCCCTCCATTCACCGGAATCTATTGACTGCTCCAACTCAGCTAGGGATGAGTAAACCTTGAACAATGTGGTAATCTCGTCCGTCATATCTGCGCTCGCCTTGCTCGCCGGGTGGACAAGATTCGTGTTGCGGGACCTCGGATTACCATCATGAGGCTGTTGCAGGATATTGCGGAGATAGATTATGCTGTTGGGTAGACTTAGGTGCATCTCTGCTGCCCCAGCCCTGAGTGGTAGCTTTGGTACTTTACGCAGGAAGTTCTTCTTAAAGTCATGCCACTCCTGCTCAATGCCACTGCTCGCAATCTCAATCTGCTCCGTGTAGAAAGGCTCCAGGTGGTTCGCGAGTCGGGTATAGGCAGCCTGTGACTCTGGGCATAGAGAATCCTTCATAGTTTCCAGCTTGGTGAGGCGACGGCAAAGTTTGGCCCTCAACCAGCTCCATTGCTCCGGGCCCACCGCGCGTGATTCCACGAGGTCTCTCAGTAGATCTGCTAGAAGTACACAGAGCAGGGACTTGTAGTAGACGCGACCCAATTCACTGCCCAGCGCAAGTACAGCAGGCGTTGGAGGCAGACACGAAGCACGAGCCATAGAGGGCTACGCCGCCACGGTCGCTCCGCTTTGTTCCAGCATACATCGTCTTTGATGCGCTTGCGAAGGAGGACTGGCTGGGTTCGACGGCCATTCACGCCGAGTACTGTGATCAGAAAGTCGGTGATCAAGTCCGGATCCATGGTGTCTCTTGTTTCAGTCACCTTGACGCCCGCCTTTTGTGATTTTGGCGCAAACTCGTCGAGGGGCTCTGTACTGGCTCTCTCCAGGAATTCCCCCATATTTTCTAGGAGAGATGGCTTGTCAAATTCTGCCTGGTCTAGTGATATCGCCACCCCGGGGAAATCCCACTGTAGCGCACCGGGCGCCGCAATGGTGGGCTCGGCACTTGGTGAGGCTTCGAAGGCTTCGACGGTCACACTGGTATCGTCCCTGGCAGAGAAGTGCGTCAGAATCAAGGGGTCTTCCACCGGGGTCGAGAATGACTTACTGAGCTTGATGGAAAAGGAGGGCTGCGTTGTGTTCGACGACGTGCACGATGATAGGGTGATCTGGGCTCAGCCTCTGGAACGCACTCACCAAAGCTGCCTTGTGGACCCTGCCATCGTTAATCGCACGACACTCTTTCAGAGTCTCATGAAGGCTTTTCCAGACAGTCGTTGTGTCATCTTCAGCATAGTGGCGAAGGTTTCTGACGGCCCTGCGTAGGCGTTCGATGAGGCCGTAGCCAACTTTCTGCGGCTCTGTGTCTGGACTTCCAGGAAGCTGGGGGGCCAAGGCGACATGGTGAAATATGTCGATGAGAGTGTTCTTTTCAGACATGATAGGAAGTTGTGTCGTGATGGAACAACGATACAAGTAAAGACGACATGCGAAGAGAAAAAAGAAAATGAAGGACTAGAATGGGCAAAAGGAAGGGGAAGGAAAAGGGGGTGAGGATGAGGATGAGGATGAGGATGAGGATGAGGACGAAGCTGGGGACGATGAGGGGAATGGAAGTGTGTTCAAAGGTGACAATGTAGAAATAAATTCCGAAGAAGACTGTGAGCTGTGAGCTGTGAGCTCAGAAGAGGGCGAATTGGAGAATGAGATTAGAAGCGAGATGAGGATGGAGGTGAGGTGGTGAGGTGGTGAGGTGGTAATAGTGGTGAGGCGAGGATGGTGATGGAAAGACAGAACAAGGATGAAGATGAGGGATGAAGGATGGAAAGTTCCTCACTGAGTGATTAAGTAGAATTGGCAAGAGGACAAGCAGAGGGGAGGGGGGCCCAGCTCACAGGTGGAACATACTCAATCAGCCATCATTGCAGCGTTTGCAATCCTCACCGTGGTGGTAGTCGGTGAATATGCACCAAATGCACCTGTTACCTACCCCTCCAGCAAAGGGCTTGGTTATCTACATGCAAAAGAAATGGATTGGGTTCTGGTCCATTTGAATATTGATTCTCTTACTTATAATGAATTTCGTATACAACAGACGCCGTATGTATCATGAGGATGACCTTGAAAGTGAAAGTACATAGAAAAGTAACCTCACCTGAATTCCTCTGATAGCCCCCGGTAGCCTGGATTCAATCGATTGGATCTCTCTCAAAGACTTAGATCCCCGTCCTGATGTAGCCGCGATGCATGCAGAATGGTCGATATGGTTTCTAGTTCGCCATCTCGGAGAGTTGCTCGGCGAGGTTGTGTTCTGTGGTGGTGGAAGGAAGGCCATTCTTGGTATAGCTATGAGAAGGGTTAGACGTGAAGGAAGAAGGATCTGGAGTCACAAGAGACTCTAAATGCATCTGTACTCGGTGATGGTGGATAGAGGGCAATGGCCATATGGAACTTTTAATACTTACTGCACCCATGAATAACGACGGTGCATAAGTAGGTGGCTTACGTGGTCTGGGTTGCTTTATGCCATCACGTGATATTTTTTAAGATGGATCACCTGACCCAGAGGTCAGGCAGCCACAAAAGGCACCAGGCAGAAACCACACAGCGGGTTCTCCTGGACTGCCGCAGCCCGGGAAGGAAACCCCCGCCGGAGGTTTCTTTCCCCGGGCCCGAGTTGCAACCCCTACCTGAGGATGAGGTGCCCTGGTAAAGAGTCGATTGTGGCAAGGAGCCGAACGATAGTAGAACAGGTGATATTTACGATCGCAACGATGCAGACGGGGTAGTTGTGTGAATCTAGTAATAGCTGTCTATTTTCTACCATCATCTTCATCGAGTCCGATTAGAATCGGAATGCCGTCAGGTCAGTGGATCAGAAATATATTTCCCCGCTATTACTAGTAGAATGACGCTCAGGGAATCAGATACCGAACAAGCGCTCAGCCCCATTGCCTGCGAGCCATGCAGGCAAAAGAAATGCAAGGTCAGTAGAACAGGAAGAACGAGACTCAGAGAGTAGACACTGGGAACACCCTTCTAACTCCAACGTGTGCCAGTGCGACCGCACGCTGTATGTGACTCCGCTCTATAGATGTACGGTACATGCTCGATCTAAGCCCAACTAACCCGCCTACTCGCCTCCAGTCCAGTCTGCACACAATGCTCCCCCGATCCATCCAAGTGTGTCTATCCAGAAAGCGGTAAACGGTAAGGCAGATCGTTTGGCGGTAGTTCAACCGGGTGCTGACCTGAGCCAGAGGGCTTCCGCTTGGGTATCTGAACCTGATCGAACAGCGGCTTGCCGACACCGAGCAAGCGTTATTCGAGGCCCTCACCACCATCCGCGAGCTCAATGCTTCGCACGGAGGCATGGTGGTGCAGACCACCCGCAGGTCCGCAGATATGCGCCCCAAGAATGCACGCATGCAGGAGTGGTCCCAGTTGCCATTGAGCGGGTGGGCGGAGCGCGAACGATGGCGAGAAGCGAAACAAGATCAGTACCAGTGTGAACGGACTGTGGTTAAGTCGCCACCGGGGGTAGAAGTGCCGCCGTCGAACGTGTATGAGATGCCGCGGGGAATCTCCGCCGCCAGTCTTCCCAGCAGGAGCAGTGTAGGGCCGGCGGAGTCAGTATCGGTCGCGGAGTCAGTATCGCCAGAGCGGCGGAGGGCGGATCGGGCAGGGGAAGTGGCGCGGCGATATCCTTCGTTGTACTTTTGATTACTGCTGGAATCTATATAGTTTGTGCTGGCTGCTGATACTGCAACAACAACCCCCGATGGTCTAGTTGGTTCATGGCGTTCGGCTGTAATGGAAATTGTAACCGAAAAGTCACCAGTTCGATTCTGGTTCGGGGGATTGTCTTTTTGCTGTCGCTTCCACTTTTTGACACGGTGGGCTCTGAGTTGGGCTCCCCGCAAGCACTATCCTGTTTTTTTGTTTCCTTACTGGCTCCGACAGAATGAACTGTAAATCTATTCGATTTGCACATAATGACGATACTGGTAAGGTACTAGGTAACTACCTAGTAGTCATTATTTACCTCAAGCTTAAGAAAATGCCGCGCACAAACTCCAGTCAGCGGGGTGTTTGCATCCTCTGCAATCCTCGTAGTCTTCCCACGGTCTTCCGTAAACAGGGTCAATCCGCTCCCCTTCGCAGCCAACAATCAATCCGTCAATCGCATCCACACAAACCTGCCTCTCAAACTCTCGCACGTTATCCACCGCACCATTCCATCACCCCACAGGGCTGCATCGATCGTCATCATTGTCCAGATGCAAACCCGTCCCGACCATCTGTGTGGTGCCGGAGATGTCTTGCTCCGAGACGCGGAGGAGTGCAAGTCCGGCCCTCCACCCATCTGAGATCATGGAGGGGAATCCTTCCTTCGGTGAGGGGCGACACGCGGGGGCTGGAGATACGATATAAACCTCGATCGACGCGCTGGTACCGACTTCTTCTCTCCTCTCCTCGATCTCACACCACCTTCGCACACAGTCACCATGTCTCTCCAAAAGTCCTACAGCATCGCCTCCATCCCCGCCGATGGTATTGGCCCCGAGGTCGTCGAGGCTGGTATCACTGCGCTGAACGCCTTGGCCGATACCCTCAAGACCTTCAAGCTTGAGTTCACCAACTACGACTGGAGCTCCGAGACCTACAAGAGGACCGGAAAGTACATCCCCGATGGCGGTCTCGACTCCCTCAAGAAGCACGACGCCATTCTTTTCGGTGCCGTCGGCGCTCCTGGTATGTTGATTTGCCCTACCTCCCCGCATATGGAAAGTTATCTAATCTTCCATTACTGAACAGACGTCCCCGACCACATCTCCCTCTGGGGTCTCCGCCTGGCCATCTGCCAGCCCTTCCAGCAATACGCCAACGTCCGCCCCACCAAGGTCTTCCGCGGTACCCAGTCCCCGCTCCGCAACTGCAAGACCGGTGACCTCGACTGGGTCATCATCCGCGAGAACAGCGAGGGCGAGTACGCCGGTCAGGGCGGTCGCTCCCACACGGGCAAGCCCTGGGAGGTCGCCACGGAGACGGCCATCTTCTCCCGCGTCGGTGTCGAGCGCATCATGCGCTTCGCCTTCGAGGTCGCCCAGAAGCGTCCCCGCAAGCTCCTGACTGTGGTCACCAAGAGCAACGCCCAGCGCAACGGCATGGTCCTCTGGGATGAGGTCGCCAAGGCCGTCGCCAAGGACTTCCCCGATGTCACCGTCGACAAGATGCTGGTCGACGCCATGACCACCCGCATGGTGCTCAAGCCTGAGACCATCGACACCATCGTCGCCACCAACCTGGTGAGTTGAGCCTTTCTCCCCCCTCCCTTCCGACAAGACCAAACTAACGGGACAAACAGCACGCCGATATCCTATCCGACCTGGCCGCCGCGCTCGCGGGCTCCATCGGCATCGCCCCCACCTCCAACCTCGACCCCACCCGCCAGAACCCCTCCATGTTCGAGCCCATCCACGGCTCGGCCTTCGACATCACCGGCAAGGGCATCGCCAACCCCGTCGCCACCTTCTGGACCGCCGCCGAGATGCTCGAGTGGCTCGGCGAGGCGGATGCCTCCAAGAAGCTGCTGACCGCCGTCGAGAACGTGTGCGAGGCCGGCGTGCTGACCGCCGATCTGGGCGGCAAGGCCAACACCAAGGAGGTCACCGACGCGGTGGTGGCCGAGATCAAGAAGCTGTACGGTTGAGGATTGTACATATATACCACGGATTGATGTCATTAGCATGAAAATAGATTTCCTTTCTCATAGAGTTGGGTTCGTCCATTGAGTTACAGTGAACTAACCATCGCGATCCACAATGCTAAGGGGGCGACAGTCTGACCATAAATGAGGGGAAGAAAGAGTGTTGCTGCGTGGCTGTGGCAAGCTCCAGGCCAAGGTGCACTTGTAGAATTTTAGCTCACAGAGCATTGTCCTCAATGCCTTAGTACCTCAGCTCTTCTGTTGCACTCCTTCGCGGACCTTCTGTGTCTTGAATGGTCTTTCGGCAAGCAGGTAAAATGACCTCGGCAAATACCCCGGCCCGCCGATTCTGCCACGGTCTACCGCTTTCGCCTCGCAACGTCCTCCGTGGCTGCTGTGGCTGATCCTGTGGCTGACCCGCAAAGCCATCCGCCCACAGTCATAGAAGCAAAGTAAACTTGAAACAAAATAATCTATGAATTTCTATCATGCCGCTGCCCATGCCACAGACACGAGCAGCACAACGTTCTAATTTTACAAATAGATATAACACAAGGGAGTTCCCGCCGTCGTGTCCAAGATATCATAGATCTCGCGGGAGGCGGTGAGGTTGCCCATCCAGAGGGTGTCGTGGATGGTGGTGTTGGGGCCGGGGATGAGCCCGTCGAGGAAGTCGGGGCCCTTGACCACGTAGGTGCGGTTGGCCGGGTTGAGGTTCTGCCAGATCCAG